AATAATAATAATAATAATATACTAAAACGTCCCTTGAGATAGAGCCTAGTACTATGTTAGCTTAGCGCCAACAGCGTACGTAGCTACCGCAGCGGCCGCCTCTCTACATCCCATCCTCGCACACTCTGTCTATTACAATCCTCCCACACCATTCTCAACCATACTAAGCTCAAATTCTCTTTTCCCACTGGTCTGAACGTGTTGGCGTCGACCCACTCGTTCTCCGTCCAGGCCATAAATCAATGGCGATTGAGGCCATAGCACCCCAGCCCAGCGCCTACGGACGTCTGACTGAGATGTGGAAATTGGCTGTGTAACGTCCACTCGCCAATGCCTCCACTTTCAATGTGGGAGCAAGCGGACACATGCTCCCCCAGCTGAAGACTGAAGACCTCAAGTACGCACGCGCTTGCTCCAGCACTCGTACTGGCATCCATTTAGTAACGCTGAAAAAGTGCCCCGGGCTGTGCGACGCCGGCGCGATTGCAAAGATGGTCACTCACGTTCCCACTGGCTGCATGTCTATGTAAGGCAATGAGATGCCGCTGTTCGTTGTCACGGCGCGAAATCTAGAGCAAGTCCTGGTCCGTTGGCTTGGGCGATCCGTGACGAGATGGGACGAGCGCAGTAAGGAGAGCCCATGAAGGTACTGCCCAGAGCCGTGTCGCATTGGTGCAACCCCTCGCATACAATTTCAGGGCTTCCACTCTGCTGGCCGTAAGTGGCTACAGTGGTGCTGTCGTCGAGTGTGAGCTTCACGGCCACAATCAATTCGTGGTCCCAGCCCATCATGTCGCCTACGAGCACCGGTGCATATTTGTTCCGCTTCGAGGCCGAGGTCGAGGTCGAGGTCTGCAGTCGCGAGGCTGGCATGGTCTGCATCGTCAAAGTCAATCTTCACTAAATCCACCTACTCACTGGCCTTCCTGGGTCAGGCGTGTGCCAGTGAAATGCTCTGTCTGGAGGTATAAGCACCTCTGAACGGCTTGACAAAGCCTTACGTAGGGCGCCTCGGGTAGAGGCAGCGTCGTTTGCGCCAAGGTGTTGCCCAATACTTCAACCAGCACTTGATTTTCAGACTGCGACACGGTGACCATCTCTCCCTCGGCAACAAAGTGGCGGGCGATGAAGCTAGTCAGATCTAGCATAAAATCCACGGGAACACTACTGAGGATGGTTGCGCGTGGGGTCCTTAAAACAAACATGGCCCAAGAATGCTTTGTTGAGAAGATGGTAGAGGTACCGTCGCATAGCCTGCCGGGACCTAGATCGGATTTATACTCCGACTTCGTCATCTCGATATCCCCGCTCCCATCAGCCATTGGCGCGTATATGAATTAGATGATGCCAGCCCTCTCGCCAGATCGCATCCAATGCACGACCTCTCTGCTCGACGCGATGTTCTGATCGATGAGGCTTTTGTGAATGGTGAACATCGACTGACTCCTATCCGCAGATTTGACTTTGGCGTCCAAAAGTTGATGCAGCAGCCCTCGCCGGCGCCATAATCGAGATCTTGGATCTGGACAAACACGTCAGATAGCACCCCGTCAACTGAGATCTGCATCGAGAATTGACCGTTTTCCACGAAGTCAACAGCCTTGATGGTGTTCCCGTAGCCATTATCGCCTAGGGATTACAATGCAGCGACTCTTATCGGCACTGGCGGGGAACTACAATGCGTCTTCGTTCAAAGGCCGCGACCGCGGCGCTACCGTCAAGGCGCTGAACGCAGCTGGTGTTTCCATCTCATCCACCAAGTACGAGGGCGTCATGAAAGGCAATTTAAGCACCCTAAGACTCAGTTCAAAATCAACGTAGTCACCTTGCCTGGCTACAAGATGAGTTTGGTGATCTCGTAGGACTAGGAAAGTCTCGACATACCGAGGCGGCGTGAACATATCACCCTATTACTAACAGACTAAACTCATCTCACCAACTACGGCGCTGCACAACTCGAAACTAAAATAAAANCGTATGTTTTTTGACTCTATTTTACATTTTTTTGTGGGCTGATGCCATGTCACGTGCATGGTTTTGGTGTGTTCTGTATTACTACTAATCTGCTCGAATGTCAGTACTCAGATCGAGAATCGTCGTCATGCTTACATCGTTCGTCCCTCTCCCTTACACATTTGCGCATCGACGTCCAGAACCTGGAAACTTGCATGTTTTGCTATATTCATTTCTTGTTCTTATTTCTACAAGCTCCTATATGTGCCTGCATTGAACGGTTTGACAACGCGAAACGGTACGTTCCGGTGAGCCTCGCCCAATTCGGTTTGGATATGAATTTTGATTTGCGAAAATTTGGCTTTGATTTATTCATTTTCGGCTTTGTATTAAAATCATCAATTCTGTTCTAGGCAGGACAGCTAACGTCAATCGTAACGTCTGCAACAGCAGACACGGGAACCCATGCCACTGTTGCACGCAGTAGTTTATCCATTTCCCAGCGGACCTCAACATTTCCCTGGATATTTACTTTGACTTCGTCCAGGTTCATTTCTACCGCAGGCCATCTTGAGGCATGCCATACCACAATGCGGTACTCCCGGCCAATGTCCCGCTCGACCAGGTCATCTCCATACTGCGAAAACGGTGTTGAGACTCTGATACGCCGTATTTCTCTCATCTGATCGCTACCAAATTCACTCGTGGTCGTTTGCTTGAATCTTACGTGTCGGAATATGCTCATTGCCTCATGGTCTCCATATGCGTTGGCCAGTTTCGTGACGACCTCTCCCTTGGTTTTATTGGGTAGTGCAGAGAGGTAGACATTACACGGCGCGCTCTCTCGTGAAACCCCGTCGTCGAGATACATGTCGTAGCTGTTATCTTTTCCTGGGTAAATATTGATCGTTAGTGGATTTGGCGCAGCATCTTTGTCGTCCCGAGTGCGATCCGGTACCCAGTCACGCGCCGCCATTTGCGGTATGATGCCCCCCTCGCGGATGTACATCGGTGTAGTATAAGGTAGCTGCTTCTCATCTGGAGAGATGTGACAGTCAAAATCGACATAAGTACCACCACTAACCTTGGGAGCCAAAGGCTCAGCAAGAATGCCATCTAGATATAGCTTTGTTCCTGGGCGGAGGTTCATGGGATACCAATGGTCCGGAGCAGGAAGGTACAATTTTCGTGTCATTCGCTGAGACTCCTTATAAAGAGCTGGAGCAACAAGAAGATCATGGCGGACCAGATACTGACTTCGTGTATACCACTGGTTTGCATCATAGAGAGATGAATCCAAAGGATCGGTAATGATCATGGCTCGCGCAATTGGTAAACCATTGATCATGTTTTCAAACATGGCATCATAGAGTAGCTGGAGTAAGCTATACCTCAATTGAATTACGTAGCGGCATATTGGCAAGACAGAGTAATATGTACTGCGGTCTTTTTCAGGGACAAACCTCCAGTCGGGCGAATTCTGCAGTTCAGCATAGGCATACGGCTCTTGGAAGCGTTTCTTGCCCTCCTTGCCACTGTAATGGTTCCGAAACCATGGTAACAAGCTGTATGCGCAGTACCATCGGATCACAAGTTCAGGGTCGGCCCAAGACTCGCCATCATGTACAGGTTCGAAGCCACCAACATCCGCTCCAGCAATAGTCACACCGGCAAGTCCGAGTGCAAGCACCTGTGTCACAGAGATGTCAAAAAATTCCCAGGTAGAAGCGTTATCGCCGGTCCAGAGTCCCGCAAAGCGTTGAGCCCCGGCAAAGCTGCCACGGCCAATGATGAAATTACGTTTACCCTTGCGACTTTCAAGCTCCTGCAAACCATGGAATGTAGCTTTATGGAGATTGTAGCTGTAGAGAGACCAAATTTCAATTGCCTTTTTTTGTTCAACAGCCTTAGGATCTCCACTCCAGCCGTCCGAATCCAGGAGTAGACGGAATGGCCAACTTTCATGGCTGTTAGCCCTTTTGCGCAAACAATGCATGGTTGGAGAGGTCTACTTACGATTTCATATCGCCAAATGCTTCAGCCATGCACGGCGATGTCATGTCTTGCCAAATAAACTCAATGCCTGCCTCGAAAAGGTATTTGTATTGCCTGCCCCACCACTCCCTAACTTCTGGATTGTTAAGATTAGGATAGTAGCCTGGAGCTCCTCTACCATCTCCATAGTCGACACCCCCTCGGAATGGGACCGGGGGATCCTTATTGAAAAATTTCTCAGGCTGGTAGTCACCTCTGATCTCGTACTTCGGTAGGTCATCAAAGTTGTTGGGGTTCTTGAAGTATCTGTTTCCAGCCCCAAAATTGAGAGATATTTGCTTATCATAGGAGCTGGCTGATGGATCAATATCACGTCGATCCATGACGAAGTAATTATTCTTCAAGCCTTCATCAAGAACCGAGTAAGGATTTTTGGGGTCAGAGAGGAGACTGATGACAGGCGTGATATTTGTGCTGCATTTGACTCCTTGCTTCCGGAGCTGACTGAACATTTCTTCAGGTTGTGGAAAATGGCCTTCGTCTGTGTTGATACTGAAGGTTCGATATAGGCGCTGAATGTCGACGTCGATGTGCATTCCATCCAGTGGGATTTGGTACTTCCTATACTGGTTGACTGTATGCTCCACTTTTTTTCGTGTGTCATAGCCATAACATCCTTGATGATTTCCCAGCACGAAGCGTGGATTCAGCTGCGGTCTGCCAATGAGGGATGTGTACAGGCGAATTACTTGTGCAACATCGTCACCAGCGATGAAAATGCTTTGGAAGCTATTGAATCTAGTTGCAATACGGAGCTGCGTAGCATCTACGCGGCCAAGGTCTAGCTTGACATCGGAATAGTTGTCCACAAATGTGGCTAACTGCGATTGTGTACCAGGATGTGCATTCATTTCGATCCAGTACGGCTCAGAATGATACAAAGGCTCACTATCTGAATACGGCCCATCCTTGCGATCTTTTCCATAGACGTTGAAGTATCGCATGTTGTCAAAATCTCAAAAAGAAAATACTGTTAGACCACTGAGCAACGTACTGAAGGCGTCAAGACTCACTAAAGTAGTTCATGCAGACATTGTCTTTGAACAGCCTGCGCCCGCCTTGCTCACCGAAACCCGCATATCTTGCGCTCAGTGGCTTTTCAATTGCTAAAATTGTTGCATTATCTAGCCATTGTAGTGGATTATTTTTAGTTCGCCAGATGACAGCAACTTGTGAGTCTGAAGGTGTGTTGATAGCCAATCTTTTCACAAGCTCAGGCTTGGCATTTGATATTGGTGACAACGTTGGTAGCTGTGTTACGACGCTGGTAGTTCTGATTGCTCTAACTGCAGTGATGTTGATTGGGTTCCGTTCAATCCACAGCTGGACAATCACCTTGCGAGCCGGATCTTCTACTGACTCAGAGCCGAGGACTGATTGTAAAACGTAGTATTCGTCATTTGGCTGTACGAGTTCGACATGCCAGGACAAACCCTCAGCAAGGTCCAAAATCTCGATAGTCTTTGTGAGTGTATCCTGGACAATAGTTCTCGTGTTATAGTCAGAAAAGTCTGAGGGCGTTGTATTTATGCTATGAAACCTGATACGCCAGACTTGTGGACGCATGAACTGGATGAGTAAGAAACCCAACTTGTCATTGAAACGAAAGATTCTTCCATGACTCGAAACCGGAAGCGGCGTGCCGTTGGCTTGCTGATCCTCCTCTTCGCACGAAATTGTATGAGGCTGTTTTGTCTTTCCACAAGCAATTTCTTTGAAGAACCACTCTGCTGGTTTGAAGATGTACGGATCTTGGGTTTTCCAATATTTCGCGGGTGTATCAGCATTATCTGAAGTTGGTGGAAACACCTCAAGTGCCTCGAGCCCCATTTCGTCGAATTTCAAGACGGGTGTAAAAAGAATTGAGAGTGAAAAGTGAGCAACGAAACTCACATCTTTCGCCCAAACGATCGAAAATTGATGAAAAAAAAGTCAACTTCTCACCCGAGGTTGATAAGTGCAAAAAGAGGAAGCTTCGGCACTGCATAAAATGCTGCAGGCTAAGCAAGGCTAGAGTTGGAGCTAAATGACTAGTACACGGAGCAAAGCGGTCTAGGCTTCTCGACAACACATTTTTTGTGATCCTGCATAGCTAAATAATGGCTCGTGCATAAGAGCTAAAGGTTGATACGTTGAGAGCACGCTCGATGGATGAATGAGAAATCTTGCTAACCGAGCTGCAGTTTTACATGTAGCTCTTTTAGCCAAAGCAACAGAACTAAATTGTACCTAGTGTTCAGTTGAATGTGCATTCAATGAAGTTGAATTGAATAATTTTTTATGGCTCGAGCTGTTATGTAGGCAGGCGAGGGAGAGAAGTGAAGATTGTTTGACCACGTAGTAGTAAGCAGGGGTCGGCATTAGTAGACTCCGCTAGTGCGGGCGGGGATTAAATTCGGATGAACGCGGATCCACCTAGATTCATATAGATATATTTCTCCTACTAAAATATACTAATGTCTCTTAGTCTTATTAAAATATTTCTTCTCTTACTAAATTAATTTTAAAGAGACAGCTAAATACTCTTGATATAATTTTAAGAAAGCTTTTAGCATAAAGATTAGAAATTTGTTAATTGATAGCTTAAACTCTCTATACTAGAACTATCTAGAAAGTTTATTCTAAATAGAAGGAAAGTTGATATTGTTATAGGGTAGGTTATATACCTACCCTATT